TAAACACAATCATTGATTAAAGTTAATTGTTTTCCTTCAGAAATATCATTCTTTTTATTGATCTCCTTAAACTTGTCTAGGTTAGTGTTAGTGGACAATCAAACAACAGTTGCAAGTGTGGCTTAGGCCAATTCTTTTCAGTACAATTAAACAGATTTTACCTAATTTGAAAGGTATTAACCTTGATTGGTTGGATAATTTCCTTTTGGTATCTTATTATCTTAGTCTTAAGTCAGTTGGTACATATTTATTTGAATAATATTGGGTACTGTATATTTGCATATTTGTTTGAGATTGATCAGGTAGACTTACTAAATACATTAGGGTATTGATGTTACGGCATCAGACATGAAAATTGGGTTAGGTAAAGTTTAACTCTCTGCCTTACTACCATAGCAACCACCAGAAGAGTTTTTCTCTCCGTTGTAAACTCTTATGAGAGATCTCCAAACGGAGTGGCGCCCCCTAAACCGAGCTAGTACCAATAGACCCGGTTGCTATAGAAGTAAAAAGGTTAAAAAGAAGATATTTGTGAGTGAACCCGGCCCACCTCCCTGAGCAAAGCCCGGCACAGCAGTTTGTGAGGCTGCACAAAAACCCGAGGGTAGGAGACCTCCTGGAAAGCCCAAGCTGAGGTGGAGAGATCAAGTGAGAAGAGATCTGAGAAGAATGGGAAGAAGGGAGGATGAAGCAGTGGATCGTGCAGTCTGGAGGCAGTGTGTACCAATACCCACGGCAGTAAGTAAGTAAATAGCTAAAACCCTGTGATGTACTAACAGTTTTGTAGGTCTATATCTGATTTTTGTGTGTTGGGCTGAACTGCTTATCATAAAAACATTATTTTTTACCCATTTTGGTATCCTGAATTTCTTCTTCAAAGTAATAAAAAAAATAGATAGTGTCATTTAAGTGGAAAAACATGTAAAAGTTTAATTAATGGAATAAAAAGATAGTAAGTGGTGCGGATTTGAACCAGGGACCCACCACATGAGAAGCGAAAACTCTACCTCTGAGCTACGCCCTGCCATTGCATCTTGGCCATGTTTTACTATACTTGAAAACCTTATTCCCCATTGCTTGTAACAGTGTTGCAATTATTTGTTACATCAATAAACGTTTAGGCTTATTATTCATGGTTTGTAAACTCAAAATTAGAACATCACCAAACGGGTTTTAACCCAAATATTCTTATACATTCGAATATTTGAAAACATAGGTTAAGGTACTTGAAAATGTTCCTAACAAAATGTCCTTAGGCGATTTAATTACATTCATAATTTGAGCCTTCTTTTCTTTATTTTATACGTCAGAATAAAAAAAGACTATAAAAATCACAGCGAATGCGGCAGCAACAGATCAACTTCCAACCAACTGTTAAGCGCCGCAACTAGGCCTACAACCGGCTACTACAATGACCGTGTTTGTTTGCGGCAACGCTGGCGGCGGGCTCATTGATGAGCATAATAGCGGTTTGATAAATAATATGTGATTGTTTTACTTATATTTCTATATAGTTATGGATTAAAAGAAGACACTGCGTTTCTACAGCCATTTACTTTTAGTATCAAATGAAAAAAATTAAAACCCTTTATTAAGCGCCAGAAAACCCGTGATTGAGGTTAGAAATTAGTGTTGAGAGTTCACTTGTAAAGTTGGTCAAGTGACTAGTAAAATACAGTAGTATTTACTAACGGTATAAAAACGTTTAAGAAACAGAAATTAGTAGGACAGGTAAATAAGGGACTAGTATTTACTAGACTAGTATTTTCATGAAACAGGGCCCAGAGGCTACTAAAGTTGCCATGGTAACGAATCAACTAATCATAACCTATTAAAGTTGTCATGGTTACTAATTACTCAATCACAAGGTCTACTGTTGCAACAAAGCCCAGTAGTAGACAATGTGAAAGGATTATTACACATACAGTATTGTCAGTGCAAGCGGATAGCTCGACCTTAAAGCTATCGATCAATATTTCTCTATTATGCTTCCATTTTGTTTGTGTCAAATGAACTGCCATGTTTCAAAATCATAATGTGGGAGAGCCTACAGCCACTGCATACAAATAATAGACAGAAATAGTTGAATACACAATACACTATGCATTTCAACACATTAGACTAAAGAAACACAATTTATAAAATTGTCTGTGTATTTTTCTTGAATAATAAGGTTAGCAAACAATTTTAGAAGCACCTACTAATCACGGTTGATCCGCCCCCGTTTAATCGAAGTTCTACTGTATTATCCTTCAAAATGTTTTCCTGAAGGTCGTGCCAGATTATCAAGAGTGACAGATTGTAGGATGCCGGATCAGAGGTAGTTTACTGTACTTCATATTTAGAACAAATGTATGATTTAATCATTACTGGAGGTGTCGTATTGAGTCTAAAATGAAAATGACACAGAGTTTAAAAAAATTTAATACCAGAACTACAGCCCGCCCTCGCTAGTCCGACGCTTTGAAATCCGACGTACTCGGTAATCCGACGCGCCGTCAGGCGCCGCTACGGGAGCAAAAATAAGCATGCAGTGACATGAAACACTGTGACTCACGTCTCGTTGCCGACGGAGCCCTTTCGTTCAGTGTTCAGTTGACTTTCGAGACGTGCAGTTCACTTTTCCGTTGCAGTCGTACCTTTGTTAGTAAGTGCAAGTGTTCGTGTACAGTACAGTAGTTGTGTGAAATGGCTAGTACAAGTGGTGTTAAACGGAAACACAAAACTTTAACAATATCGGAGAAGTGGGAGATTATTAAAAGAATAGATAGCGGTGAAACGCCGACTGCAGTAGCGAAATGTTATGACATCGGACGGCCTGTGATCTATGATGTAATGAAGAAGAGAGAAAAAATTGAAGGGTTTATGAAGTCTGTTGAAGACGACGCTTTAAACAGGAAAACACTGAGAACAAGCGAGTTTCCTGAGGTGGAAGAAGCACTGTTCATTTGGTTTAAACAACAACGAACACTGAATGCTCCTATTTCCGGAGACATACTTAAACAAAAAGCGCAATATTTCTACACAGAAATAACAAAGAAGGATGATTTTCGAGCTAGTCATGGATGGTTCGAAAACTTCAAAAAACGCCATGGTATACGGTTTATGAAGATGAGTGGTGAAAAGGTATCTGCTGACAAGTCTGAGATTGATGCGTTCATTGAAATGTTGGACAAAAAAATTACTGAGCTTGGTTTAGTTCCCGAGCAACTGTACAACGCCGATGAAACCGGGTTGAATTGGCGACAGCTCCCGGCAGAAACATTTGTAAGTGATGAGGAAAAAAAAGTGTCTGGAAGGAAATTGCAAAAAGAACGATTCACGCTTATGGTGTGTGCTAATGCATCAGGCACTCATGCTTTAAAACTGCTTGTTGTAGGAAAATCAAAAAACCCTCGAGCATTCAAAAATGTCAAGGTTGAATCTCTGCCAGTAACTTACAAGTCACAAAGTCGCGCTTGGGTCACAAAAGAAGTTTTTCATGACTGGTACACTAACAGCTTCGTTCCACAAGTTAAGGCTGAATTAAAGAAGAACAAGTTACCAATGAAAGCCCTTCTTTTACTGGATAATGCGCCAGGACATCCTGATGCTGATGAATTGAAAATCAAAACTGCTGATGGCTACATTGAAGCTATGTACCTACCAAAAAATACCACAGCTTTAATCCAGCCCATGGATCAAAATGTGATAAAAACTCTCAAAGCTCACTACAAAAAGCGCATTCTTATGGATGTTGTCAGTCAACCTGATGCTGATATTGCAGCGATTTTGAAAGCTTTCAACATTAAGGACGCCATTTTGAATGTTGCATATGCTTGGCAACAAGTAAAAAGCACAACTTTGATCAAATCTTGGAAAAATGTATGGCCTAACAATCCATGTCTTACAACATGTAATCCTACATCCAGCAGCGACCCAGAACCCGTTTTGGAGGCTACATTGGAACTTTGTAACGAAGTGCAACTTGCCCCCGCATCAGTTGAAGAGCTTAGGACATGGATCATGGAGGACAACCTTGATGCTGACGTGACAGATGCAGATATAATCCAAGAAGTTACAGCAGCTGATGACGACGTGATCGAGGACGCAGCGCCAGAAAAAACCTTAACCGTCAGCTGTGATGACGCTGTATCGGCTGCTAATACTTTGTTACGTTGGTGCCAAGAGAGAGATGTGGACATGACAAAAGTTTTAGTTTTAAAAGGATTGCAAGAAGCAGCAATGATGGACTGTGTACAAAAAAAGAAGCAGAAGTCAATCACAGACTTTTTTAACAACTAAATACCGTGCTGAAACACGTATGTATTAATTTTACAGGGGCCTACTTTTTTAATGAATTGTGTACTGTAGGCCTACTTTTATGCGTATTTTTTGGGATGTACAGTACTGTTTGTAAATACTGTAAAATAAGTTTAGCTACATAAATTAAAATTGTGTTTACTTTATTCTGTGTTTTTAATTCTTCCCAAGAATTTAATAGTGATTAATATATTGTTTAAAATGATAGTTATATCTTTTTGGCAATCAAATGCATTACAGAATAGCTATTTTCGATAATCCGACGTTTTTGAAAATCCGACACTGCGTCAGTCCCGTACCTGTCGGACTAGCGAGGGCGGGCTGTACAAGGTTCACAATAATACATTTGCTAAGGTAATATCAGGAATGGTCAGCTGGGTGGAGATAACACATGTGTATTTGGCCTATGTCGAAGGGACTAGTAGAGTGAGAAAATGCAGGAAACCAGTACTTACTTGCCAAACAAATCTTGACTATCAATAAACAAGAACGTTAGAATCACAATTTCACAGTAAAATTGCAGGAGATTAATTATTAAGGTAACTATTTGTTAAAAAAACACAAGAGAATAAAAAGGCAAATTATTAAAATAGTTAATTGTTGATGGGACAAAAATCTATTGAAAACAAAATCAAACCTATATAGATCTAGGTCTAGAGCCTGTCAACTGATTAATAAGAATTGGTTGTGATTGTTACCTTGAGAGTGCGGTTCTTGCTGAGAATCAGTTGTATCTTGGTCCTGCTCCATCGCCTCAGTCTCATCTACAGCTTGTGACGTCTGTCCATCCGCCTCTTCCATCACGGACTCCTGGCTCTCTTCATCTGGAGCTACCGGTATCTCTAGTTTAAATAGTAAAAGAGAAAATTTAATAACCGGATGGTGTGTGAACACAATAACTAACACAGTTATGATTGGAAAAATATGGAGTTATGGTTAAAAATCATTATGAGATGTGATGAAACTTTTACAAACCATTGACATTCCAATTAAACACCTAGATACATCATGGACATAGGTTTATTGTCTACAAACCAAAATTTATTAATAATGGATTCCTGTTACCTTTTTTATGTTAACCTCTGGATTACTTTGAATATATGTGTTGATTCCACTACTTTTAGCCTACTAATAAAAGTCCACATTTTGTATAAGAAAATAGAAAGTAGGTTTTTATTAAATCACAATCTGTAAGTAAACATAAAAAATTCAACAAGTAAACAAACTAATAATTTGAACAAAAATGTTAGAAATAAAATGTAAATAAAACATATGTTAAAACCTCCTCCTCTATTTACTGTGCTTCCAATTAAACACCTAGATACATCATGGACATAGGTTTATTGTCTACAAACCAAAATTTATTTTGTATAAGAAAATAGAAAGTAGGTTTTTATTAAATCACAATCTGTAAGTAAACATAAAAAATTCAACAAGTAAACAAACTAATAATTTGAACAAATGTTAGAAATAAAATGTAAATAAAACATATGTTAAAACCTCCTCCTCTATTTACTGTGCTACGGCACTTTACGAGGAATCAGCTGATCAACATGTCTTTAATTATTCGCCCATCTTCCAGCTGAACTACGTACATTACATGTCCTTGCTTTTTAGTTAACTATATAGTAGGGACGGACAAGATTGAATTTTTAGTTCGAGACGAGACGAGATTTTTTATTTCTCATAAAATTTCGAGACGGGATTTCCCTTCTCATACACAACGGGAAATGCACGTTCAAAATTTTTACCTGATTTTGTAACATTGTTAGATGACTGTTTAAATACAAAAATAATGATAATTAATAGGCAAGAATATTTATAATCTTTTAACATTAGAATAACATTTTTTTTATTAATCACGCCTAACTTATTAAAAATGCCTACGATTAGGAAACATAGTGATATCAGTTAGGATAGAGTTCAACTTATCCTAAAATAAAATAAATCATAAAATAAAAGCAATATTAATTTTTATAAAATAGTTATTTGTTTTGACTTTTTATAGTAATAAAACATTCCTCACACTGCTTACACTTAACAAAACTTCTCAAATGTTATTAAAGTAATATTATTAAAATAATTAAAGTAATATTTACATTTATAGAATTAATTAAATAAGAACGCCTTCACAAAGGAAACGCAACTACAACACGCTCCTGTATTGCGGGTATTGCATTGACTTTCTGCAGGCGTTTTTAATTTTTTTTTTTATTCTCGTCTTGATAAAAATCTCAGCCAAAAAGAAATCTCGTCTCGTGTAACGAGATTTAAAATTTCCCGAAAATTTCCTGAAATTTCGAGACTTGACCATCCCTACTATATAGCTTAAGTACCACTTGGACAATCCATTGACATATTCCTTTATAGTGGGGTTGTATAGTTGCATATAGTGACAGAATATTTCAGTTCTGGCGGGGAGGCTGCAACTTTAGGTGGTTATAGTATACAAGTTCCTGAACCTAAAACCGCCCAGACCCCAATTTGTAAGGACCTCGGTCATCCGTAGTGACGTCATCAAGATGGCGGCTGTAAAAGGATGCTGGGTCGCCATGAATTGGTTATAACACTCAAATGTCTGAACCGATTTTAATGAAATTTGGCATACAAGTACTTGAATACATTATCTCGGCACAGGTTGTCAATAGTCGAGTTTGATCAAGTCGTTTCAAAATGGCGGCCATTAATAACTAAAATAATAAAAATGTTTCAGTGTTTTGTGTTGAGATCTGCAGCAACCTATTCATTTTCCTTGCAATCACAGGTTGTGATATCGTCTTTGCATTTAATGGAATACACAAAATACCCTCACCACAGCAAACCTACAGATTAAGTGAGTTTCCATTTCCCTGATTTGATTTTCAATTAAATCAGGTCTAATAACATTTGGTTTCATGAGTACCTAGGTTTGCTGCTAGAGGGAGAGTAATAAAGTGAGTTTTTATTGATATATTTTAATAGCTTAGTTTAAAATAAATAAATTAGCCATGTTTCATTAAAATATAATCATAAACAAGCCAATTACAACAGTTTATGTACTCTCCATAATAATAACATGGGAATTTTAAATTTACAATGTTTTGAATTTTCTTCTTAACCAATAACCTTATAAAAACACTTCAATGCACTAGTTATTTATTTGATTAAGCTCTTTAAAAAAGTTTAGAGAGAAATTAGGGAATTTCATGTTTTGAGGGTCAAACATAATAAAACCCAACTTTTACACCTTAAATCCTCCCAAAAACGCCGTCCCCATGGTCCGACCACGCTGGTTCACAAACTTGTTTGAAGAAACGTAGGTTTACACGTCTTTACAAAATTTTATTAACATCGGATCATTTTTGCTAACGGACACACACATATACAGTGTGTTCAATAAAGGTAGGGACAAAATTTACGAATTGATTCATTGGATTAAAATAAGAAGGAAATAAGGAATACATTTTTTTTACAAAATTGCTTCGTTACCAGATATCCACCATTTTGTATGTTTTTCATTAACATTTTATCCTTTAATAATTTTGACTGAACAATAGAATTGTGGTCAGCAATGGCGGCAAAATGCTTAATATCTCCCATGGTCGTGTGGTCATTATCATCGTCTTCTGCGGTCACAGAAATGTTATCATCGGCATCTGCAATTGTGGCAAAGTACTGGACATTTTCCGCAGTTTGTAAACTGAATCGTCGTCTCCTCTTAAACTCTCTTAAAATTCTGGACATTTCCTACGGTCGTGTACATATGACCATCATTTCCCGCTATTACAGAAATATTATCAACGTCATCCGCAATTGCGTGAATTTTTCGATTGTGCGACCTTCACAGACGCATTTTATAATTGCGATTGTAAAAGTTAGGCTCAAGCTTGGTTTTCCAACTACGTGCTTGATATCTGAACCTAGTAGGCCAAGCTAAGCTCGATTTGAAAATCACGTTGTGCGCAAACTTTTAGAAAATACTCAAATTCACACTCAAAGTTCAAATTCTTTATCTATACTATTATATAAAAATCGAATGGTGTCTGTCTGTGTGTGTGTGTGTTAATAATAGGTGCAAAAACTACTGAACCAACTGGGCTTAAATTTTACAAAAACTTGTTTAATTGAAACAGCTGATAAGATTCATTAATTCCATTTAAATATGAGTACTCATAAGGTTAACATGGGAAACTCTAGAGCCACTGGGGCGGAGCCCGAGAGTCCGATCAGAATAAAAACAACTTAGTTTTCCTATTTAATGCCTAAAGAATCAGTGTACCAAATTTCAGCCTCCTAGGTAAATGGGAAGTGGGAGAATTAGTGATGAGTGAGTGAGTGAGTGAGTCAGTCAGTCAGTGAGGGCTTTGCCTTTATATATATATCTATATATTTAGATAGATAGCTTTCAGTTCACATTTACTTTATTTGATAAATTTTGCCACACCACTGATTAAATTAAACCAAGGAAAATATCATAAAACTAAGCAGTACACAGTGTTCTTTTGTTTCCAAAATCAATGAAATATCTGTTGCTATGTTTACTTAATGGTAAGTGTGAAAATGTAAAGGCAATGGACGATGGAGCTGATTAAAAGAACTGGTTTGTATATTAAATTGTTTGTTGATATTTTTGTAGAGTAGAATCAGAGATACATTGAAACATATACTGTATTTGCTGTTACATTTTTTAGTCCTTGATGCTTTGATAATCATATTAGTTTTGTCTGCTGTCTTTAATGCTAAATTATTTGTTTGAAATTTTGTTTAGTACCTATAGATATAGTTTCTTTAATATTTCAAAAGACTGTATTGATAAGGCACACCAATATTTCTAAAGTTCATAACAGCTGACTAAGTTTTGCTAATGATTTATTGTGAGTGAAGGAACTGAAAATGGAAGGATTTGTGATTTAATATAAAGAATAGTGAAATAAAAAAAATGTACATTTAAATTTAATAATTAGTAGTGTAACTTCAAAATTGAAATATAACCCTAGCGCCGGAAAACGCCGGATATACGGCGCGAACGGCCGCGGCCGAAATGGCAACGCCGGATATACGGCACCAATGCAGGCGTCAAATGTTTATGAATTTTTTTGGCCGAAAATCCGTTAAAAACACCTCAAAACTCATATCAAACGAAAATTCAGGAGTTATAGTACTTATTTACAATACTTTTAAAATGTTTATACCTCTTTGGACTGATTTGAACTGTATGTAAAAGATCGCAATCGCTTGTTATTGTTTTCGTTGGCTGCCGCTGCCGCTATAAACAGTAAACAGTGTCGATTGGCAACGTTTGGATGTGTTTTTGTTTATTTTTATGTGTTTATTAGTGTTATTATTTGTAGTAAGTATTTAAATAAGGTGAATTAACATGTTAGTGGGTAATATGCACTATTTTTGAATATGGAAAAGAACTTAAGAGATCGTTCAAGTGAATTGCGTGAACTGATTGAAGGGCCTATGTCCAGCATTGATGATGATGATGACAGTAGTTCTGATTTAGAAGTTGACAATGATACTTATGACAGTAGTGGTAGTTTAACTGATTTTTCATCAGGAAGTGAAGATGATTACATTCCTGACACTGATGATATTAATCAGTGGAGGAGTGAACATGACACTGACTTTGGCCCCCCACCAAACAACATTGCTGCTAAGCGGGGGTACGATCAGCATAATAATAGGGCTATCAAACAAAATACACAAAATAAGCTATATAAACTATACATTTTTGGAATCAGCACAAAATATACTACAACTTTACAATTTACCTTATGATGATAAGTCTTACATGCACTTAGCTACACGACGGAATATAAAACATTTTATAAAAAAATAAAATGGTTTATATTACCTGTCCGTCAGTGATCCTAATGTTGTTGTCGTCTTAGGATCACTGACGGACAGGTAATATAAACCATTTTATTCTATAAGTGATCCTGGGCCACTAAGCATAATGAAATTATAAAAAAATTAATAACGCCTAAAATTCGGAAAAACTAAAAAAAAAATTTTTGTGGTAACCATGTAAACCACCTATATTATTTTTCTTTGTCTTATTCTGAACAAAATGATATATAATAATCCATAGTTATGTTGCTATTTCTAATTTTTATGATGGTTTAAAAATGATATTACATAATCAATAATATCCCTATGCCAGTACAGCGTTACACTAGTGCCAGCTCTAGGGTTAAAATGTCAATAATAAATAAAAAGATAACTAAGGGAGATGAAATGGTGGTATCCACTACTTACCAGATTGAGAAGTCATAACTTAAATGTTTCTAAAGGCCATAAAAGTTGAATTTTGTTTCTAAAAGCGTTGGCGGATGTGTAACTATTATATGCAACAGATGTAAAGATTAAAGTGTTTCTATTTTGTGTCCTCTTCCTGTTGCAAAGCACGGGTACAACAGCTAGTTGACTTATAAAACTAATATGAAATATTTTTCACAAACAACCTCATTTTAATCGGGAGGAATCAGCTGAAGGCATGGTAATTTCAAACACCCCCGCCACAGCAAACTGCGGGAAAAAGTCGGGAATTTCATTTTAGAAATCTGGTAGACTGAAGAAGTGCTGCTTTTTACGATTATTGGTTACGGAGATAATTTAAAAAATTTAAAATTCCTATGTTATTCATATGGAGAATAAAACTTGTTTTTTATCACAATATTTGTAGACGCTTTCTGTAATTGCTCTAAGATTGCATTAAAACAATTTATGATTTTTAGTGTTGTACGAGGGGGTACCCAAAAGTTCCCGGAATAGCTCTGCCGTGGGCGGAGCTTGCGTAGTACAAATTCTCGCCGCTTGGCTCATGTAGCGCTGCTTATAGCCAGTTCAGTGCCGCCTGTTGTGTTGACCTGACGTGTTCTGTCCCCGTGCAGTGCTGTTTTGTGATTTTGTCGTTTTTTACAATGGCAGGCAAGTTAGTTAAAAAGTTAGTTTAAAATGGAACAGCGTGCAGCTGTGAAATTTTGTTTTCTACTTGGCAGAAACGCCGCTGAAACAGTTGAAATGTTGAAGACAGCCTACAAAGACGACGCTATGGGGAAAACCCAAGTGTACGAGTGGTTTTCTCGGTTTAAAATTGGTGACATGTGAATTCAGGACAAACCTCGTTCTGGACGACTATCGACTTCACGAACAGACGAAAATCTTGTGCAAGTGAAAGAAATTGTGCTTGCAGACCGACGATAGACTATCGAGCAAATATCAGAGGCTAGTGGGCTATCATGGAGCTCAATTCAACGGATTTTAACAAAAGATTTAAACATGAAAAGGGTTGCCGCCAAGTTTGTGCCTCGTGCTCTCACTGACTTTCAAAAGGAACGTCGAATTGAAGCCTGCCTTGATTTGAAACAGCAACTTGAACCCGATCCAGATTTTTTGTCCAAAATAATTACAGGTGACGAATCTTGGTGCTATGGGTACGACCCTGAAACCAAACAACAATCCAGCCAATGGAAGACGGCATCATCACCCAGACCAAAAAAATTCCATCAAGTCAGATCGAGTGTCAAAACAATGCTCATTTGTTTTTTTGATGTGAAGGGGATTGTCCATTCAGAATTTGTTCCACCAGGCCAGACAATAAATCAAGTGTTTTATCTTGAAGTCTTAAGAAGACTACGGAACAGCATCTGTCGCAAAAGACCTGATTTGTGGCAAACAGGGGACTGGTTTTTTCACCACGACAACGTGCCTGCGCACACGGCAATCTCTGTCGCCCAGTTTTTGGACAAAAATGGCATGGTTACGCTACCACACGCACCCTACTCACCAGATCTGGCTCCGTGCGACTTCTTTTTATTCCCACGGATGAAAAGGGGCATGAAAGGTCTCCGATTCAAACAGTGGAAACAACGATGGGATAAGTGTATAAAGTGCAATGGAGAGTACTTTGAAGGTGATAAGGTTGTTTCGTAAAAAAAAATAAATATATGTATATTTTAAACAAAATTCCGGTTATTTTTGGGCACCCCCTCGTATTTCTTGCTTCTGCCACCTACCTGGTTGTTGTGGAGCTGTCTCCTCCCCAGGTTCTGTCACCTCCCCAGGTTCTGTCACCTCCCCAGGTTCTGTCACCTCCGTCTCCCCCTGTTCTTGTTCCTTCTCCTGCTGCTGCTGCTCGGGCTCAGCCTGATGCTCCATTGCCAGATCCACATCTGACAACTCACTAATCTCTGCACAGTTTACATTAACTATTCGTTAATCCAACTATTCTTCAATGAACAATTTTGATTTTAATTAGTCTACTGCCACACAAGACCTCCAAAACAATTAAAACAAATAAAATAGTCCTACTATCCCTATCTAATTAGGAATTAACCATGATCAGAGCTGGGAGAGGAAGGGTTGAAATATGTAGATTTAATGCCTGCTTGAAAATAATGAGAAGAGGAGCACTAAAGAGTAGCCTATAGCAATAAAGACATCTTAGCAATGGCTCAGGGCTCATTGGCTGAAATAGCTTTGGATGAAAGAAAGAAAGAGGTATTAGGAAATGATTTTTGTACCAATAGAGTCTAACATATCCTGTTAGAATTCAGCTATCACAAGAGTTTTAATCAACTCAAAAAAGATAAACAAAAATGTACAGTAGCTGATTTTTACCAGATATTTTTTAATTTTGAACTAGGCCTAGAATGTCATTATAAAGAAAATGGACGTCTTTTCAAAATTTTAATTGAACTGTTTGAATAATTTTTATTTCATTTTTAATGGTGCTGACGACCTTTTTACCAAATAAACATTTGTGGGCTTTTTCGTGGTATTTTTAAACATAACTCAAAACTTTTTGCCCACAAACATTTTGACAGACATACAGTAGACTCCCTCTTATCTGGGCACCTTTTAACCAGACATCGGTTTAACTGGACTACACTCGGCGGTAATGACATTTCTTGAACCGGACAATTGTTATCAGCACATCGGTTCAACCAGACTAGATCGGCAGGAAGTGGGTGGTACTGAAAGGACTATTCTCGTGGGAAATATTTGGGACCATAGATCACAAGTCTAAATACAAAGCTCTCCTAAATTTTAAGTCAAATACTGTATACAGTATGCATTTAAACGGTCCGTTTTAACAATTTTTTGGGGACTTCGGTTTAACCGGGAAAACCGTTATCCAGACTGGTCTCGGTCCCGAGGAGTCCGGATAAGAGGGAGTCTACTGTACACTAATTATTATGTATATCATTGGTAGTTTCTGATTTCAAAATTTTTAATTTCAAGTTTACTTCAAAAGTGCCACTTTTTTATCCTTGGGTCTTTTGTTCTACATATTAGACAGAGTTTAGTTAAGACTACATAGTTTATACATCAGCACACAAAGTTCAAACAGGATGGGAAATTTAAACATGAAAATCATAAATATCAAATCAAATCATTCTTTATTCATCATATACAAAGAACATGTATTGAATAGAGTCAAATAACTTATAGACTATAAATACATCTATACAAACATACAAAATTCTTATATACATTTAGTTTCCGGGGTAAATTAAATTTAAAACTAATAAGTATTCTTTTAGGCATGGTAAAAATTTAAACCGTTCCACCAATTTTGTTATGGAGTTCAAATTGAAATCATGTAGGCCTAATTTAATTTATTTTCTTCTAAAGAACCAAATGGATATTAGATTAAAAAATCTTTTAGCATTCTTTAAAATGTATTTAAATTTTCTCCACTCTTTATCAGAGCCGGTAATTGCTGTAATAAAGTTAATCTTGACGAGCTAGTTTTCTTTTAAAAAATTTCTAGTTTATGCCGAGTAAGTTAATTTTGAATCTAGTGTTATTATAGCCACCAGAATTAATTGAAGTGGATGACAGTTGAATTTGTTTTGCATAGACAGATATTTCATAAATATACAGATTATACCAGAAGTCAATTATTGAACAACATGTTCAACATGATTATTCTAAGTAAGATTTTTACCAATTATCAGGAAATTTAGTTTGTTTAACTTGCTCTATCCTGTCATTTTTCATAAAAGTTATCGTCTCAAATTTTGTTTTGATTGTTTGGTTGAAAAATATAGCCCATAAAATTTGATTTATTTGTATTTATAAGATTTTTTTCTTTTACAAATTCATGAGTTATTAGAAGATTTTTTGAAGATATTTCAATTTCAGAATTAGAATTTTTAGCGTACAGACACATGGATCCGTCACTCCCAGGAATAGTCCCAGGCAGGAATAGTTTCTAATATAACAAAGAAAGAGTAGAGGGCCCAGGATCGATCCCTGGGGGACCCCATATCGCAGCGTCCGATGCTGAAATTGAATTTTTTTCTTTATAATTTATATCATTATGTTCTATAATATCGTCCACTTCAATAAACTGGTGCCTATTTTGAACTTAGGATTCAAACCATTTGAGTTCTTTACCACGGACTCCAAGTTCATTTAAAACTTGTATTTATTTATTGTGTGACACACTGTCAAAGGCTGATTACCTGATTACCTGATTACCTTCCTCTTCACCAAGACCAGCTTTGCCGGATAGGTTGTGTCATGATAAAATAAAAGTAAAGTACTATTTAATAAAATCTATTTACAATATATACATTCAATCACTTATGGCGGTGGATCAACCCTATTTATTCACTGTTTCAAAGTATTCGTCAAGGCTATAAAAAGGTTTGGTTACTAGCCAGGACCTAAGGGCAGTGCTAAATTTCTTTATTTCCAGGTTTTTTATCTCTTGGGGCAAGTTGTTGTAGATCCTAATTGCTATGGTCGGGAAGGCATTCTTCGTCTTAGCAAGTCTACAGAAGGGGATGTCAATTTCATGGTTTCGTCTTGTCTGGTGTTTGTGAACGGTATCTCTGGTTGGAAACTTATGGATATTGCTTTTAACATATGTTGCACTTAGTAGAATAAAGTGGCTAAAGACCGTTAATATGTTTGTTTCTACAAAAAGAGGCTGGCAGTGGTCCAGTCTTTTGCTGGAAGTTATAGCCCTGACAGCCTTCTTCTGCTGCAAGAGTACATCCTTACAATTTGGCGCATGCCCCCAGAGCAGTAGGCCGTAACTCAGCACACTATGGAAAAGAGCGTGGTAGACCACCTTTAAATATTGTGGAGTTACTAGCTTGGTAAGCTTGCGTAACAGGCACACGACTCTTGACAGCCTTCTACAAACAACTTCGATATGATCTGCCCACGTCAGTTTGGGGTCGATGGTGAAACCTAGCAGATGGACTTTGGTTTCGATTTGAGGATATCGAGTTAGGGTGCATACGATTTTTTGGGTCTTTTCCTCGTTCAGCTTAAATCTGTTGGCTGAGAACCATGCCTTAGCTTCATCAAAAAATGTTTCAGCCGTGTCAAGCGCACGCGCAGGGGTAGAGCCCGTTGCAAAGATGGTGGTATCATCTGCAAACCTGAGAGAAGAACCATTTAGCTCAAGGTCGTTGATTGATACCAGAAATAGTACTGGTCCCAAGACCGATCCCTGAGGAACGCCGTGTTGGATTGTCAGAGGTCTAGACTGGGCACCGCTAAGTGAGATTACCTGCTGCCTATTTTCCAGATAGGACTTTATTAACGTGAGAGCCACGCCCCCAACCCCATAGCATTCAAGTTTGTCTGTAAGTATGCTGTGTGATATACAATCAAACGCTTTACTTAAGTCACAAAGTGTTAAGGCAAGCGAGTCGGATGCCTCAAAGGCAGTTTGCACTCTGTTAACCAATTCAGAGACGGCCGAAGTTGTTGAATGGTTCTTTCTGAACCCATGCTGTAGGTTTGAGAGCAGATTGTTTGATTCAAAATAATTCACCAACTGATCTTTAATGACGGACTCGAAGACTTTACTAAAGACTGGTATCAATGAAATGGGGCGGTAGCTGTTTAAGTTGGACGGATCACCCTTTTTGTATATGGGTACCGTGCGAGCCACTTTTAGGATGTTGGGAAAGGCCCCTACTTTTAGGCAGCTGTTTATAACCATAGCTAATGGATGTGCAATTTCACTCACTATTGCCTTAAGAACTAATGTGGTCATCCCATAAATATCCTGACTGCTAGATGGTTTTAGCCCAGAAACTAATTTCCTTATGTACATTGAATCTACAGGATTCCATTTGGTTAGGTTATCTGAGGCCTGCTGACTTAGGCCATTCATATTCAGGGGGTTCAGGTCTGTATTTGGAATGCTATTTACAATATCATGCACATTATCCACTAGGAACCTGTTAAACTCGTCTGGGCTAGCATTGCTTAACATAGTCTTAGAACTAGATTTTCCCCTGGACTCGTTTACTAGGGACCAAGCTGCCTTGCAGGGGTTTAATGCAGTTTCTATTTTTTTGACATTGTACAGTTTTTTTGCCTCGTCTACTTTACATTTGTAGGAATTTTTAGCTCTGCTATACACATTTCGAAGATGTTCCTTCACGTGTTCACAAGAGGCCGATAGGTACCTGTCTCTTAAGGCTAAAACTAGGTTCTTATATCTAGCCAGGTCTGGCGTATACCATGAATTTACCTCCAACCTACCATGTTTAGCCTTACTTAACTTAGGCCTATTAGGAGAAATTCTCACCGTTCTAGAAGGAAAGTAATCATTAAAGATATCATTCACTATATTAAAGAAATTAGCAAAAGACTCTTCAGGATCATTGACCTGTAGAACACGACCCCAGTCAATCTGTGACAAGCTATACCTGAATTGCGGGAGACGATCCTCTTTAATTATTCTAAAACTCCTAGTATACTCTAGATGCCAAGCAGGAAAAATTGGAGTGCTACTCACCAAGCTGTTGTGTGTACTCAGAATAACTGCACCATGATCCGCAACCAGAGGCTCAGTTACTTCTACCTCATAATCCCAGGAGTCCAGGTTCGTGGCGATGGTATCCAAGCATCGGTCTCCCCTCGTCGGTGCGACACTGGTAATGAATAAGCCGTGTGCACGGAGTAGGTTTGTAAAAGTTCTTGTGTGTAATTCGTCACAGTTTAGGGCAATATTGAAGTCACCTCCTAGTATGATTGTTTTCTTCAAGTTGGATAAGTTTGAGAGACAGATATCTAGTCCTTCAAAAAAATTGTCAATGTTGCCGTTGGGAGAGCGATAAACACTCAGAAATATCATTTGTGTTCCCAACAACTCAATTCCAGACACTTCAAAATTTAGCTCAGCACAGTATCTTTCCAAGTCTAATTGTTTTATTTCAAGGGTATCGTTTACAAAGATGGCCACTCCTCCACCAAGCCTATGCCTTCTGCAGAAGCATGACGCCAGTTGAAAGTTTTCAAATTTTGAATAAAAATCACGTTCTTCCTCAACCAACCAATGCTCACTGATACATAGGATATTTAGCTTGTTCTCACAGCAGAATATTGGCATTAGATTAAATTTAGTCCTGAGACATTGAACATTTAGAAAAGCTACTTTGAATACATTAGATTTATTTACAATATCTACACTTGCAAGGTCTAAAGACTTTGGTTCTAGTAGGGATGCACTTAGTCTTGGTTTAGGCCTAGGCCTAGTCTCCCTTGATTCTCTGACAATGTTTTCCCCGAGGCTATTCGGAATAAAAAACGCTTAACCGTAACATTTTTTGGCCACACTGATCTGTTTAGGAATTCTTCTTTGGCGGCAAAGTCAATACCTATCTTGAAGCTATCACTGATGCCCTTCGTTTCAAGCTTCTCAACTTCACAGTTCACGTTAGGGAAGTTTTCATTCACGAAGTGCTTGACCGCATCGACCGATGTCCCACTTTTCACTTTTCCGAGATGAAACCAGGCTTTCTTCGTACCTGTCAATAAATCACTATGTTTCCCCGAGCCGATAATAACTTTCCGGGGGTTTTTAGGTTGCTTAGACTTCGATTCAAGATGGCGAGTCACATTTACATCATCTTGGCGTTCACGACGTTCCCGTTGTCCGTTTTGTCCCTTCTTCTGCTTCTCACTCATTAGCGCTTGCTCTAGCTGTGGTTCCTTGATCGTCTTTTTTCCAGTTGCTGTTTTTGTACAAACTACAGATGCGTAGCTTTTGTGGTTGTTGTTTCGACTTCTTCTTACTTCAACTTCATTCCATTTCTCTCCACTTCCAGTTTCAGCATCTGATGTGTTTTCAAGGGATATTATTTTAGTTTCATTTTCATACCCATTTTCCCCCGAGTGTTTTACTACCGGGGACAAAATTTTGTGGCTAATGAGATTCTCATTTTTACCATTAAGCCCAACACCCAATACGTCATTTTGTGATGAGGGATTGCCCTCCTGAGTGTAGTTGTCAACTTGATTTTGGTGATCCGACGTCATGTCGTTTGTCAAATTATTCATGTCGTCTGTCGAGTTGTACGTCATATCCTGTTTTGAAACACGCTTTTGATCCTGAGAAGAGGTTAGGATGGAATCGGTTTTATCAGTATCTAAGCAATTAGACTGAGTCTGTAATTTTGAGGGACTAGCTGGTAGAGTATTTTGCAATAAATTAAACATTTTAGCTAACATTTTCTGTATATCTATGTACTCATCACAGTCGGTCCACGACTTCTTCAGCTCCGAGAGCCTGGTGGTACATGGATCGCAGAACCACATCACAGTCTCTTCTATCTTCTTAATCGTCTTGTATTTTGAGCTATCCACGTTGACACATCGGCCGTGAAACCATTTATTACAAAACCCATCACAATTTAGGGCCATGTCGTTATTTTTAACTAGTTTATTGCACTGCCCGCACTGATCCACGTCCTCATCCACCGCCATCTTTAACTCGAATCTCTACTGAGATCTAAGAATATTCCTACAACCTTTTTCCCTTTATCAATTGCACTTATTATGATGGAGTCTATGAGGCGGTTTGGGAGCTCGGTATTAGTGCTAGTCCGCGACTAAGAACCGGATGTTTCCGGTATTTAGGCTGCCGCCTAGAAAACGAGTTTGGGAGCTCGGGATCAGTTAGGCGCGCGCTTAACTTGTGCAGGGATAATCTCGCGCCCAGCGGGATAAATATTGTTGGTTTGGGAGTCAGGTAGACTTAGGCGCCAGCCTAAGAGATAGTCTCGATGGGTTTGGGAGACCGATTTCGGGACTAAGTAATATATTTTCGTCATAAAAATTAGTGAGTTTAGTCCCCAACTTTAGTCCTGCCAAGGGGCAGGTTTAAGTCGACATCATGCCGGTATTAGCTCATTAGCAAGTTAATTGTTTACATATTAACTAAAAGAATGTTATATTGGAATTCGTTATTAAATTCCGAACAATTTAATTACTCTCAAAGTATATTTGATAAAAGTTTTTTTTTAGGTTTCTGTTGTTCAAAATTACAAAAAATCTTGCAGAAAGCTAAATTTAACGAAAGATTATTTGTTTTTTGTTTTTACTGTTAATTGCAATAAAAAAATGGACCCTAAATAGAATTTATTTCACCTGAGAGTTTGGTTATAAGCACCCGTACCTTAATAAAAAATATTTTATGAGCTAAGAAAATATTAGTGACCGCATACATACACCCCCACTCACCCCCTACGAAAGAGTGAAGAGATAATAAACAAAACATAAAAAAACTGCAAATAGCTCACAGTCATAATCGTTTTATTTTTATTGCGTTGTGATTGAGCTCAGTTCAGTGTCATTGACCAAGTGCTAGTTACATCAAAATGTAGTACCTAGAATATTTGGGGTATAAGAAAATATATACAGTATATCAATAACCCCACCACAGAAAACCTACGGACTAAGCGAATATCCAATAACCTAATACTTTCAATGCAATTTATTAAAATAGCTTTAGGTTTAACAAGTAACTAAAACTACCTACATGTAGGTATGCTGCTATAGTGAGGGCAATAAAGTTAGTTTTTACCAAAATATTAACAGTTTTATATAAAATAAATAAATTTGCCAAGTTTCATCAAAATATATCCATAAACTACTAAACTACAACAGTTCTCCATGAGAATCACTTAATCACATGGGAATTTTTAATTTACGATTTTTTTAATAATCTCTGTAGCCAATAACCGTACAAAACATTTTACTAATTTGTTTTGTATACTCTTTAAAATATTTGAAAGATAAAGATTTATGTTTTAGGGGTTAAAATTGAGAAAAAAACTATTTTTATCCGATAAAACCCCGGGTTCCCATGGTCTGATCATGCTGGTTCACGAACTTATTAAGGTTTATCGTACCTTATACTTTCATGCCAAATTTTATCAAAATCAGACAAAAATTACTCAAGTTGTCACATTCATGGACGTATATATAATATATTGGCTATACATATACAAACTTTTGAACGAATAGTGTTTTTGGCCTCTAGGGACATCAAAATGGAAAAGTATATCGGTGCCGGAACTAAGTGCTACCTACGGTAATAGCTACTTCCCTATAGGAAAATTAGATAAAAGAGTGTCATGTTTAAAATGTTTAAAATTGACAACAATTGTTTTGTAAGATTAAAAGATATACCTTTGCTTCACACAATCATAACCTCCGCAATTACTTAAAATACTTTTTATTTTTTATTTCCGTCAATACCCATATATTATACAGGGCAATTGCTGTTTAATTTTGAAGCTTTTTATTGCATGAAACGGAGATTCAGATGTTCCTGTTCCACACACAGGGTAATCTTTGTTAAATTTTTTTGATCTCTGAAAGAAATCATATTGATTTTCAGAAACCTATGTTGCTCTGTACGTATTTGTAAGGTGTAGTACCATAGATAAAAAATAGCCGTCATCGAGATGTAAATCAACGATCTTACAAAACAACATTTTTGCAATGGTACAATGCATAAACATACACCATAGTATACTAATTAGCCACCGTTGATATACCAAGATAAAATTGTATCCATCTTCAATTGTTCATCTTTTGTTGTTGTCAACGGTAACGTGTTCTGCAGTGGCCGTTGCCAACGTCAAAACCTGAATTCCCCGCGATTCCCTGTCCATCTAGCTGCGCTGCAACTTAGTCGCGACTATACTTGATCTACGACCATTTCAACTTAGGCGCGAGCTCCCAAGCCTGGTTTTTGGTGCGGGGACTAAAGTTAGGCGCGTCCAACACTAGGCGCGTACTAGCTGGGCTCGAGCTCCCAAACCGCCCCTATAAGTTCTATACCAGCTGTTACTGTATACTGTTACGGCTGGTGGCCATACATTTTTACTCTAATAGTGTAGTCATTTTAAATCAAAATTTCTCCATTGCCTAAAAAAAACTCTTATAAGTGTAAAACTTGGTACGTATATTGAATTTTACTTCCGGAATAACATACTAAAAGTCCTCAAAAAAAAACTTGTGCTACGGCCGCCATCTTGGAAAATGGCGTCCAAAAACCAGAAATGCTTTATCGTGATTTAAAACATGTGTTAATAACTTAATATTTAGAAATTAACTTAAAATATTGATTGGAAGAGTAGTATGAGTTGTTTACCATGCCACTTTCAATTAATTGTTGTAGGTAATGACAGTATTTATTGCCACAAAATAATAGAGTCTATAAGTGGCCAGTATACTGTTACTGTAAATAGCAAAAAGCTAATCGGTTTAAATGATTGCTTTGATTTTGAGAAGAAAATAGGATATGAAGATACAGAAATAAAATGTTTACCTTGATTTGGATTCTCTGTAGCAGCTTCATTTTCACCTTCCTCTGCAGTAGGCTGAGGAGATTGTAAAAAAATATTAACATTATTACTTGAAATTTCCAATAGTTTATGATTGTAAGTAATAATATAATATAGCCTATGTATTAAAAAAAAGAATTAAAAATTGTTGATTTTTTTTTACTATAGGGGAGAAGCTATTAACATGGGTGGCACAGAAAGACCTAGAGTCGGTACCAGTTTATTATAAACACCGCTTCAATATCATGCTTGTTTGCAAAATTGATGGAATGAATCTAAGTTTGCACGTTGTATCGAAATTCAATTCATCAAAATCATATGATTTTTACTTGAGTTATGATTCTAACACTTTATATACATTGGGACCCTTGTTGTTTTTAATCTATATTAACGACCTGCCTTTTAACATAAACTCAAAGCTTGTTCTATACGCAGATGACACAACAGCTATATTAAAATCAAACAGCCCTAACAATTAACAACATTTGATAAACCAAACTTTAGAAGATTTAAACAAATGGTTCACAGCAAATGGTCTGAGTCTAAATTGTTCTAAAACTCAAATTGTCAGGTTCAAAACTACTCATGACAGAGAAACCATCGAATTAAATATTAATTTTCGGGGGGAAATTATTAATGAAACGTCATCTACAAAATTTTTAGGTATTCAGGTGCAAAACACTTTAAATTGGGATAAATACACATCAGTTCTAGCTAATAAACTAAATACAGTCTGTTTCCAGATGTCTGTCCTGCAGCATGTTACTGACCTCAGAACAAGGATGATTGTTTATTATGCTTTGTTTGTGTCAAACATGTTGTATGGAATAGAGTTCTGGGGCAGCTGCTCAAATGCCGAAACCATTTTCAAAATTCAAAAAAAGATCCTTAGAATTATGACATTTTCAAAGCCTAGGCAATCCTGTAAATTATTATTTAGAGAATTGAAAATATTAACACTTCCGTCTGTTTATATCCTGCAAACATTAATATTTATTAAAAAAAATATTGAATATTTTATGAATGAAAACCATAACCATAATTATTTAACACGACATCAAAATGATTTACAACTGCCCATTCATAGACTTACCTCACTAGAAACCCTTCCACAATACCTAGGGAAAAAACTGTATAATAAACTGCCTGATAATATTAAATCATTAGAATCTTTTGAAAAGTACAAAAAAGAAGTTACCAAATTGCTGCTTAATAAAGGGTATTACAAAGTTGATGATTTTTTAAATGATGTATATATTTAATTTCTTAGCATATTGTATAGTTATTATAGTTTTATGTATTTTAATTGTCCATGACCATTTCACCTGTTTCCCAGCTATGCTGGATCTGTAAAACGTTATGTGAAAATAAATGATTGACTTGACTTGACTTGACATACAAATTAGAACAGAAGGTGTTTTTGGCCTCTGGGAACATCACAACGAAAAAGTAAATCGGTCCCTTGTCTAGGGTCTTACCATGAGACCTAACTTACAGTAGAACAGAACCTCTATTAACCGTCGCCCTCGGGCCGAATAGTGTGATGGTTGAGCAAATAGACAGATAATAGAATTAGCCCTGTTAAATTAGACTTATCGGGTGAAATAATTCACGGAGAGTTGGAAATTTGATTTAACGTTCCTTTTGTTCATTAGATTGAAGAAAATAATAAGTCCTGATGAGTGGGGGTTGAGCTTGGCTAAGGGACTTTTTTTTAGTTTTTCGCTTAGGTTATATATTGGAATCTGTAAGTCATATTGAAAAGTGTTAAACACAAAAGTTAAAGCTGACAAAATTCCCTACAAAAAAGACTCCATGCATTTTTTCATAGGACTTAACCACTTAAAGCTAAAGGGTGAAGAAAATAACAGTATATTAAAATTGTGTTTTATTTGCATAGGAGATGAAACAGGCCCGAAAAGACAAAGTCTTATCATTGGCCTCAATGAGCAGCACTATCAAAATTAATGACGTAGTGCATGTGGTGGATCCACTACTCATATCTCAAGAAGTTGCAATATTAAAGAAAAACGACGAGGATCTAGAGGACCTTCTGCTCTACGAGCTGCGTCTTTTCCCTTAGAGCTCTATTTGATAAAAGAGGGATGAAAAAGACGAAAAATTCTTCCTTATACTGTATGACTTTTTCCATGTTCACCAGTTAACTCCAGACCTTAAGTTCTAAATTAATGTGATTGATGGTGGCTTCTTGTTACATCACGTTAAGGGGAGTGTAGGCTCAACTTTCTCGGTTGTAATCAACCAATATGTGACGTACATAAAGAAACACTATGGTGAATTCTGCACTGTTGTGTTTAATGGTTACTCAGATACTGTCAACAGCACAAAACATGCAGATCAGCAACTACGAGCCACAACCAAGACCGTATCAGTCGACATTGATTACACTGAAGAAATGACAGGTACAGGACAGCAAGAAAACTTTCATTGTTATGACAAAAATAAGACCAGGTTCATCAATATGCTTTCTCAGAAAATGATCCCCGAGGGTATATAAGTCAGACGTTCTGAGGCTAATGCTGATACAACAATTGTGCGGTGTGCAGTGAAAAAAACAGCATTCAGTGGTCATGTTGCTATCATTGTTGTAGAGAATGTAGATTTTATGGTCCTGCTGATTGCATTAGCTTCACTCGAGCAAGAAATTATCTACTTCACACCAGAAAAAAGGTAGCCTTCGTTGAATTACAGATGTGACTTTGCCAGAAGCATATTGTTCATTCATGGGTTTAGTGGGTGATACCACGTCGTCATTTTTTAGAAAAGGCAAGTCATTATAGTGAAATTGTTTGGTAGGGATACCAGTCTCGATACCATCTCCAACATATTTTACGGCCCGACTTCGGCGCAAAAGGAAGTCTCGATAGACAATGAGCGGATGATCTTAGTGATGTACAAATCCCGAGAAAAAGATCTGGACAGACACCGATACATCGCATTCATCAAATCCACCACTAGGCTGAATACAGACCTCCGGTCTCTGCCACCAACGAAAGGCTCTGCCCAGCAGCATTCGTATAGAGTACATTTGCAAGTGCAAGAATGGCTGGGAAATAAACTACCACCAATTGATTGGGGTTGGACAAAGGGCACCGAAGGACTACAACCCCTTACTACCCTACTGTCGGGGAAATAATTATGTGCACTCGAGTTTTAGCTTAAATATCTCTGAGTTGTATTATCTGATTTTGTTGAAACAAAAATTAAATATAAGCTAGTTTAAATAAGTTTTACGTGTCGACAATTAAAAAATTATTTGTTTAGCAAAATGATTTATATAATTGAAAAATCTTAAAAAGTACAGGTTTTTAAGAAACTCTGCGCTAACGATGAAGTTTGAAAATTAATTGTAAACAAACCTTTAAACCAATATTCCTGAAATTGTTATGGCTTATTAGTAGGTTTATTGTTATCATTTTCACACATTTTCAAAACTTTATTTAAAATATTTTGTAGCCTATGCTGAGCTGTTAATTTTTAAAATGTATGCTAAAATTGTTAATAAGAGGCTACAAAATACCATCATGTTTGTCGTGACACAAGAAATAATACAGCGATATGTCAGATTTATAATGCGAACAAAGTTTTTTTTAAGCAAATTTATATTCTCCCATGTCTGACAGCGGGCCGCTGGCCGCCTCATATTTGATATTTCCTAGCCGGGCGGGAGCGTGTGTGACACTGCGACGTTGCCGATGTCTACCTGGCTACCATACTGACATTTCTACAGTACAGTATTCACTCACGGATAACTACTGTGAATATCATTACATTATCTACTTTGAGTAGATGTTACCAGAGTAAATATCTAAGACGAACTCGCTAGCTTGGTTAGTAATCTCATAGTGACCATAGTTCAAGAAAGGAGGGAGCTCAGCTAATGCTGTAAACTCCATTAGTCATCGAAAATTCCAGCTAACACAACTCTTCCCGGAGATGGTGATGACCTCTCTGACTTCTACTATCAGTTATGTATTTTAAAAGTGGAAAATAAGTAAACCATTAAATGAATACTAAAGGGGAAATGTATACTTGACAGTTAGCTTTTATTATCTTTTAACTAGCTTACATCAATCAACACGAACAAAACTGTCTTGGTGCTCGTAATACAAACCTTATTTTTTCTTACCACCATAGTTAACTTATCATGTTTTTGTTCCATAATTAGATAATTGGAACAATTTATTATTATATTTCTGTAAATTTCAAAGTAGATAACGAAGAAGAAAAAAAGTCAGTTTGGTAGCCAGGTAGACATCGGCAACGTCAGTGTCACGTGCGCTCCCACCCTGCTGGCAAATCTGTATATTAATAGGCAAGCATGTTTCTTTAAAACCTTTTTTCTCAGCTCGTGTGCATCGCAGGAAAAATCAACGCATACTGTTTGAAAGATATTTTCCTCTAAATGTGCAGAATCCCTTCATAAATTAAAATAGGCTCAAAAATAAGCATAAAAAATTAATTTAAAGTTAAAAAAAATTAACATGGAGCTTATAAATTGCCATGCAGGTGACGAAATAACAACACAATATAAACAGAAAATCAAAACAAATGGAAGAAATTCCAATCACATGTTTTATTTACATCGTAGGGTGAAAATAGAGAAGTCTGTACATTAAATAGGCTATATTTGGTCGAGTTTCCGACCACTGGACGACCTCTAGTATTGTACAAATACGAGGCAACCTGCTGCCAGCCACAAGAGAAATTTTTGTTTACAAATATAAATCTGTTTAAAAAACATCTTTGTTCGCATTATAAATCTGACATATCGTTGTTATTTCTTGTGTCACGACAAACAAGATGGTATTTTGAATGAAGTTTGTAGCTTCTTATTAACGATTTCAACATACGTTTTAAAAATTAACAGCAGCATAAAAAATATTGTAAAGAAAATTTGGAAAATGTGTGAAAATGACGACAATAAACCTACCAATAAGCCATAAACAATTTAGAAAGATTGGTTTAGTGTAGTTTTTACAATTAATATTTAAACTTCAGCGTCGGTGCAGTTTCTTAAAAAATCTGTACTTTTTACAATTTTTCAATTATATAAATTTTTCAACTAAACATATAAATTAATTTGTTAACTGTCACCACGTAAAATTTATTCAAACTTGCTTATATTTGATTTTTGTTTCAACAAAATCAGATAATCCATCTCAGAGATATTTAAGCTCAAACTCGAGTTCACATAATTATTTCCCCGACAGTAGTTCCTGCTACTCCGGCCGCTATCCTCACAACAATCTTTAGCAATCATACAAAGTTGGGGAAAACATTGTGGGTGCCGTAAAGCAACGATCCACTGCTCAACAACGTGTGGAACTGCGAGGGAGCGTGCAATGGCCGCTGTGTTTGTGTTTGTGTTCATGTGATTTTGACGACGTCCAAGCGACCGACTGTGACAACAATGCTTTGATTCTCGACATGTCCAACGTGGCCATGACGCAATCGGCATCGAAACCATGGTTGTAGCTCCTATACAACTTTTTTGAGCTGTGACGATAATACAAGGTAAATAAACCAATATTAATATTTGTCTTTTAAAGCATTGTATTCTACTTCTATAGAGGACAAATGATAGAGAGCTAAGTGACCTATTTTACTTATTCATATTACAAGGTTTCAATTCAAGCTTTCTTACTTCAAGTAAATCCGTGGCCAACATCAGTTCTTCCATTTTAGCAGTTCTTGAAACGGTTCTCCTGTAACACACAACAGGATGATGATGATTACAGGTTAATGATTGCATATCACTGAATTGGACAGGTTAATTAAGGCTACAAATAAAAAATTAAAAAAAACTCATTAGGGTAACACTTAAATTATACTCCATTTAAGTAACATCTAAGCTCAATAAGTCAACAGTTTACAATAAAAGTCATATTTTTTTTCAATCTCACCATTAAAATAAAATCATTTGTAAAATTGTAAGACTATTTTTGTAACCTTAACTGCCAATCACCTTAGACTTTTAGGTCTGTGCAAGGATCTTATAACAGGCTTACAAAGGCTATACATCTATACGCAAGACGTCTCAATTCTAGAGAAGCCTCAGAAGATAGTTGACTTGAGAGAGCCAACATGGGCAGCATAGTCATTCCAGTCTTGTTTGACTGTTTAGCTAGAAACCTATACTTTTACAGTTCAAACCATGCATCAGGGTAATGTTCATCAAAATATTTGTTCCATCTTCCCACTTGGTGACAGTCCTTGTAGTTCCACCAAGCCTCAGGTTTTGATAAGTTTGGTCAATAGGAGAATACATATAGTTATCATACTAAGAAAAACAATGGGTTGGCTCACCGATGTAGCCTAGTATGTTGTTGAAATTATTACCCCCCCCCCCCTTCACTATTGGAGATGTAGGGAAAGGCAACTTAAATGTGAGTTTCCAAGAGTCACCTAGTGCACAAAACCTATTGAAATCTTAACAAATTAGCATGGTATATGATTGCTTAAAATACTAGGCTGTAGGTAATAGTCTTCTTAGTAACTTCTCCCTCATAGTCTTCAGCCCTTAAGACTTCTGCTTATGTAAGTATATAGCCTACGATAGCTGTGTGACAGTAGCTTAGGCTGAAAAGTCATCAATGCAATTCCACTGACTTGCCCATGTTACTTCTACAGTATGGTTGGTCTATGGTGATAGGCGATTGAGATAAAAGAAAAATTTCTCTAGTGAAGACACATTTTTCAAAGTTAGCTAGCCTACCTAAACCAATCATTCAACCTAGAAGCGCCATGTGTCGTGATTGTGGTTATTTGGTTCAGTTTCTAAAGCGATGATTAGTGATGATTAGTGAGTTGTAATAGCGATTCATTTTTAGCATGACACTAAATTGGCTGTAGGCCTAAATCAAAGAGGATCCTAATTATCTATTCTATATATAATTCAGTTTTAAAAATCTTTGTAAAACTAAATCTAGAGTTCTACTGGACTGATTTTATTAATTAATGGGTCGTTGGAAAGCTAAAGTCGTGTAGATTTGCAAATAATGATGAAAGTTTGTTTTTGTTACAATTTATGGTGAAAAATTAAAAAAAAACATGTTTACCATAAGAAATACATCGAAAACGGTGTTTTTCACACTTTTTATTTGGGTGCGACTTTTGGCTGCCTTTTTTGAGTATTTCCAAGAAGTGCATGGTATCAATTTGTAGAACATTTTATTCTCTTTCAGAATATCACCTTCCACTTTGGTCGATTTCCTCACCATTTAAAAGTTATTTGCAAAAAAGCTAAGCAACCTCCGAATTTATAGTAATGAGAAAATATTGAGTTTGGTATATTTTTGATAAACTTTGAACAACTAAAATCTAGATTTCTACTGGACCGATTTTGTTAATTAATGGATCATTGGAAAGCCTAACTCATGTAGATTTGCAAATGATTATAAAATTGTGATTTTATTAAATATTTGTCGTGAAAAAGTAAAAATAACAAAAATACATTAAAAACTGCTTTTTTCAAGTTTCTGTTTTTAAAACGTTTTTATTAGCTAGCTTTCTTGTCCGGTACAAATTTTGCAATCGATTTTATACTAAGTTCCCGATGAGCTAGAGACTTGAAACTTGAAACATAGCTCACAAATGGATGACAATGCAATATTATATCATTTAATTTTCATATTTCCCTTGGGCCCCATGGGCTTGTTTTTATTAGCTCGCTAGTCGCTTTCCTAAAAAAACGAAGTTCCCGATGAGCTGGAGACTTGAAATTTGAAACATAGCTCACAAATGGATGACAATGCAATATTATATCATTTAATTTTCATATTTCCCACGGGATACTCCCCATGGGCTTCCACATTTTCCATGTTTACATTTTAAAAGAATGTAAACATATCAATTAATTTAAGTCAGCTGTAAATACTTAAATTTGACAGTTCGAAGAGCAAAGGTTAAGAGGTAGATATATATATTATATATATATATATATATTCAGGTTCTGCTCTAGATATATTCTAAAAATATAAAACAAGCATTTTAAAGTAAAGATAAAACATATGATTAGAGATAATAAGGTTTTGGTTTGTTGTATTAATAGTCAAAGGTTATATATATATATATTACCAGACTAAAAAGTTGAAAATAATTTATAATTACCGTAACAAACTTTTTTAAAACAAAACGTTTTCAAACGCACTAAAAAGTAGAAAATAATAATTTATAAATATGTTGAGAGAATAAATACTTGTAAGATTTAAAACGAAAAACGTTGGGTGCATGCAATTAATTAATAATAATACATTAGTTCAATAGGTGAAGGTAATTGTAAAAAATTATCTATTGCATGCACCCCACGTTTTTCGTTTTAAATCTTACAAGTATTTATACTCTCAACATATTTAAAAATTATTTTCTACTTTTTGGTGCGTTTAAAAACGTTTTGTTTTAAAAAAGTTTTTTATTTATAAATTATGAAGATTCTATTTGTAGCCAGCTGCCTTTAATAAGTATTTTCAAGAAATGCATAGTAGTTATTTGTAGTAAATTTTATTCTCCTTCAGAATATCACTTCTAATTTGGTCGATTTTCCCTCCATTTAAAAGTTATTGGCAATAAGCTAAGTGATCTCCAAATTTATAATACGGTAGTGAGAAAATACAGAACAGTAACTAAATGCATCTAACTGCCGCAGAAGAGTGTAAAAGATTAAATGGTAATTATTTAGTATAGACATTAGTAGAAACTTAGTAGAAACATGGCTAAGTGAATATAAGAAATCCACATTTAAAAAAAATTGCCATGATACAAAAACAGAATATTACAGACCCCATACTGTAGGAGGAGGCTTCTCTATTCTCATTAAAAACAACTCTGTAATAAAAGTAAGTGAAATTAAACAAGTTAATTCTTTAAGTGTTGAGGGGGGTAATTGAAGGCTGTTGTTTGCTGGTCTCATTCAGTGATTTCAAGTTTATTGTTTTAAATTTATACAGTCCACCTTTTGAAGAGAGGTTTATTGATTTTCTGGACATAGGGGAAACTGGGGCACAGCGGGCCACGGGGCACAGTGGGCCATAGTTAATATATTATACTGAACTAGGCCTACTTCCAATAAACCAGGTAAATTTTCTTTTGAGAGGTCTCTAGGTTGGTCACACTGAGGAGAAAAATCTAGAGTCTACAACTATTTGGAGGGAAGTTAGAAGCACATGTTTGTTTTTGGTAGTCTGATTGCTGAAACAGGTAGTGTTAAGATATCTTATTTTGGCAAGTTATTGTATATATTAAAAATGAAAATTAACATAAATATTTAGTTTTATACCTTACCAAGCCACTCCACTTTCTTTCTTTCTTTTGTGTATTCATCTTAGTTTGGTGGTAATTAAATCTAACCTAAAAACCAACATTAGCGGCACAGTGGGCCATCTTTGGCGGGGCACATTGGGCCTAGCTCTTGAACAGGACATAGAACGGAAACTTCCAAAACCAATACCACATGGAGGCACAGAAAGGACCTTAACTCAATTGAGCTTTTCTATTGATCTTCAATGTTACGGAAATTGTTTGCCCTGAAATTTTGAAACAATCGTCTTTTCACTTTTAAAGATTTTTTTATATCAAAGGACTTTTAATTTTAAAAGATTTTCAATTCTAAAGGGTTGTTAATGTTTGTTAAATTATGTTCATAGGTTTTCAACTTTGTATTTTGAATAATAATGTTTTGTCTCAACATTAAGGCATAATATTTATTCATGGCCCACCCTACCCCATTGTGGGGTAGATTGGGCCATTATGTAAATAGTTTAAAAAAAAATTACTACAAATTTTATTTTTCATAAAAAAAATTAGAAAAAAATTGTTAAGATCAATGAAATATGGTACTTTACTATAAAAATATTAGTTTTGCATTTAGTAAAGTCATTAATAAATTATAATAGCAAATATATAAAACTGGCCCAAGGTGCCCCGGTCTCCCCTACTGGATGAAGCGCTTAATCTAATAAGAAGCAAATATAACTTACCATTGCTATTATGCGGGGATCTAAACATTAATAATTTGGTCCAATCTATAAATAAGAGTTGCCTTTTAGATTTAATAAATAGGCCTAGGTAGGCCTACTTACAAACTACAAGTGATGTTTGAAGGACCGACCAGGGTTACTGAGACAACATGCACACAACTTGACTACATTATCTCCGAGCCTAATTTAAATATAATCAGGGAAGTGAGATCAGATATAAACATTCTAAGTGACCACAACATACTTTTAGTTGAAATTGGGGTAAAAAGTAACCAAACTGAGAACTAGGCTACAAGATTGAAAAAAGAATTATTTCCAAACCGGCCTTGGAAGCATTTTGTCGTCTGCTCAAAATTAATAAATGGAAGATAAGACATAAGACATAAGACATTTATTGATCTTTAGGCAAAATTACATGCAATAGATCTTGTCATGGATGCTTGAAATGCACAAGACAGTCATAAGTACAATAGTAAAACATGCTGACTAAAGCAAACATAAAATAAGTGTTCATTCTACAAAATTAAATAAGATTGGCTGATAGAGGAAGTAAGCCTACTTGCCGATGAGCCTACAAGTAAATTGAATCTTATGTTGAAGAATTCTATTCAACCTTCTTGTACTTCTTTGAAATATCATTCCCTAAAGTGATGACTAATTTGAAAAATCATAACTCAGTAAATTGGATAAACGACGAAATAAGAAATTCACAAACAGTCTTAAAATACCTT